ACAGTGAATAAGTTTAAAAAAAGAGGGAACAAAAGAGAGGAAAACTGGATCAGGAGGTCACAACAACAAGAATGATCATCATTTCAACTTAGAGCTAAATATATTCTTATTGTTCAAAGTAGAGTCCAATAGTGTTATAAAAAATGTGGAGAAATCCAGTAAGATATCTTTAATCATTTCTAAGATACAACAGTTCAAATCTTAATCTAACAATTGGACAATTTTGCTGTTACATACATACATACATACATACATACATACATACATATATGTGTGTGTGTGTGTGTGTGTGTGTGTGTGTGTGTGTGTGTGTGTGAACACACAGGTAGTAAAATTTGCACCAACACTACACCAAATGAAGTGCAACCAAATGCAGAAAAAAAGAGTATACTGTCAGTTATTAATACAGAAAATACAAAAAAAATTGAAGGGAGATTATAGAACAATCTAAAAAGAAAACTAGAAACGTTGATAAGATTAAGAAACATTAAGCTTTAAGAATATCATAAGAAAGAGTTTTGAGAAAAATTATAAAGAGAGATAGTAACAAGAAAATATTTAAAGCAGAAAGTGTTGCATAAAAAATGAAAAAAGATACAAAAAACATTCTGCATCTTTTCTCTTTGGTTACACAACATTGGCTAAAGACACGGAAGCAAAGTACCACTATCAGGTAAACATCAAGGGAAATGCACAAGTTGGACAAAGGTTTATATGAAAACTGGTTGTGCAACATCAATTTCTACTTGTGAATATAGAGCTACATTTGATGACATGATGGCTGAATGAACAGCTAAGTCTTTCCTGGAAATCAAGTTAATTTGGAATAGCATTTCTCAAGATTCTTTGACCAATGAAAAATTTCTGAGGTTTGCTCATTAAAATACTGATTTTGGAAAGTGATAATTTTTTCAGCACCTCCTTAAACATACAACTAAAAATTGAGATTGATAAAACAAAGATTATTTCGTAAACAAACATGTCCATTTATGACGTCTTGACCTTTGTGGATGTGAAAGTTATTAAACCTGATTATGTTAAGTGACCTAGATAAGTTTGTTTTTGTGATTTGTGGCATTGAGAGATTTTAGCTTTGACTAACTTTATTTGAAAAGGTTGTTTGTAATTGAATTGTCACATATCAATATAATTTATAGTGTTCGGTGTCATCTCTACTAGAATTCAGAACTCCATAAATCATACTAATCTTTAACAATTAGAATGCACATGAAACCTAATTAACCATCAATTACTTTTCTTCCTTTTCTCCCTATGTCATTCTCTGATGAAGCTTTAATAAAAGTGAAACATGTTAGATTGATAAACGTCTCCTATTTGTTCTTGTGTGTGTATATATATATATATATATATATATATATATATATATATATATATATATATAATAAAATATAGTTTTAAGGTATACTATATTTATGAGTTAATGTACAACATCAATGATAGAGCATATGCAAATATAAAAGTGGACACTGAAGTCAACACCCAAAGGCAACAATCTGTTTCATGCTTAAATGCAATCGTCAGGCCATATGTGTTGCATTTTTGTTCAACTATTTATATATACTGGTCAGTGATGCATGTGGGTAGTCTATTGTACTGTTCTAGTGGTTGTTTTGAAAGGGTGGTAACAGTTATGCTTTGAATTATACTAGGGATATTGGGTGGAAATAATTGTGGATCCGGATGCAGTTTTTTATAGTGTTGTTTTTTTTATTTTATTTTTGGTTGTTATTATGTTTACTTGTGTTTATGTGTGTGTTTGTAGTTTGTCAATTATTTCTTCTTTTATGTGCTGTGTTCATTCAGGACGTATGTGATCATAGCTCTCCACTTTTTCTTAACCTTTGTAGTTCTCAATAAGTTTTGTCTTTTTGCTACTTCTCCTAGACCCTGTTCTACCATCCACTTGCTTAAGCCCGCTAAGTATGTCACACATTACTTCCCCTTGTCCCTCTTTCCCTTTATTCGCCCTGTGAGTATTAGATTTTCCAAGCCTTCCTTTCTCATTATGTCCCAGAAATATCAGCTGCCTCTTCCTGATGTTAAGTATAAGTTTCCTCTTTGTTTGCATCTTCTCCAAAACCTCATCATTGCTCACATGTTTGGTCCATGGTATCCTCAGCATCCTTCTGTAGAACCATACTTCAGTTGCATCAAGTCTCTTCTTCATCTTTGTGGAGACCGTCCAGCATTCGTTGCCGTAAAGGAGACAGATATCGTTTAGCAGTTCAGTACTCCTTTCTTTGTTACCAACAAAATCCTCCTGTCTTCTATTACTCTGCCTAACTTTTGGAATGTGTCTTTAGCCATCCCAATAAGTCTATGGATCTCAGTGTCACATTTACCATCCTCTGTCAGAACACTTCCCAGATATTTAAATTTCCACACCTGCTTGATTTTAGCGTCCCCGACTGGTAAATTGCATTTCGGGCTCATCCTTTTACTAATGACCATGCATTCTGTCTTCTTGTAGTTCATGCTTAGTCCCTTCTTCTCGCTCTTCTTTACTACCTTCTGTAGGAAGTTTTGCAATTTCCTTTCTGTGTCTGCTATCAGCACTGTGTCATCTGTGTATCTTATGTTGTTAAGATTCTGGCCACCAATGATGAATCCTGGTAGAATTTCCATTTATTTTACTTATTTTTATTTATTTATTTGTGTATTTTTGTTTGTTTTTAGTTTTTGATTTTTAAGTAATGTAGTATAAATTTGCTTTTATGTCTGCATTTTGAGATGAGTTCTGATCATTTATTTAGTGGTTTGTGTTGGTCTGGGAAGGTAATTATAGCTATTTTCTCCTCCAGATAGACTTTGCAGTTTGGTATTTATTGTTGTAGGCTGATGCTGTTTTCCTTATTTTTCCTAATATTTTTTTATTATATATAATTCTACATTGGATCCACAAGGAATGAATTCAAAAGAAGGTGGAACCAACATCAAATGTCCTTTAATAATAATAAATAAATAATCGAATGCCCCTATCTAAATATTTCTGGCACCTAAAAGAAACCAATAAAACACCAACAGTAAAATAGAAATTCATAAGAAATGCTAGAGCTTGTAGGTCATTAAATGACCCATGTCCTTTGTGCATACATGAAAAATTATACATTAAGTTTCTGAAAAATAAAAATTTACTAAATCAAAAAAATGAAATAGCTGTTTTTTGTAGGCACTGTCAAATATTTTCCTTAAATAATAATTAATTTTGGAAAAAATAAAGAGAGATGAAACCTACATATTTATACTTGATCATTAATTAGTAATTAAATTCTAATATATTTATTTGTAAAAATACCATATAGTCTATTAGTTATTAGAAGGAGGAATGGTACTTTAAATCTGTAGAAATAAAATTTAAATATTAAAAATATGACTTACTCATATTTAAATTTAGAAAATCTTTGTGTATAAAAATATGAATTATAAAAATACTGAAATTTTTTGTCATTGAAAACCCAGATGACATGCTGTATAAGGGATCTCTACGTTTGTGAGCAGGCACCCCCTCCCCACCTAAACTTAACCTGACTTTGTAAGTAACATATATTTGATACATAAATTGTATAGGGAAATTAAAACCCAATCACACCTTAACTTTAACAACTCAAAATATTAAGATTGTCTGCACTTATAAATTAAGTAATATTTCTAACATCGCTTGACAATTGAACAATATCCTGGATTTTAAGTTTAATTTTTATAATTAAATTTACAACTTTAGTTTCAGTTTTGAAACATAGAAATTTCTGTGTTGCAATGGAATCATATTTTTAAAAAAGAAAATAATTATCATATATATATATATATATATATATATATATATATATATATATATATATATATATATATTTAATTATTTTCTGTGCTTATTCCTACTTTATGAGCAATTTCCTAGATTGTTACAGAACAGTCTTCCATGACTATTCCCTGAACCTTCTCAAATGTCTCCTAGTTTCAGCTTGTTGATGACCTGACTGAGTGTGCCTTACTCTCCACTGATGTGCATCCATGTCTGAAATGGTTGTACCACTCTTTGATCAGAGTTTTGTCCATGGCATCATCACCAAAGGCCTGTTGAATCTCCTGGATTGGTTGTATTTGAGAATCAACAAACTTTTAGCAAAACTTGATGCAACATTTCTGCTCGATGCATTTGATCATCTTACATGAAAATGAAAATCCAATGGGCATGCACAACATGCACAACATGCACAACATGTCTACATTCTAGGCATAACAGCTGGGAACTGACATGGCCTATCAGTGCAAAAAATTTTCACACATGCACAGGAAGGTTAGTTTCACTTCCCACCCAGAGGATTTTGTCCACACAGATACTTTTTGAACACACCTCATATTAAAATTATAAAGAATTAAGAGGGAGGGCATAATATTCTGTCAGAATAATGCTTGACTAAATGTTTCTTTTGTGATCAGGTAAAATTTGGTACAATAGAAACATACATCAGGATCCTCTCATAGTCTATCACTGACTGAACAAATCACCCCATGTTGTGTTTTGATTCTTGCTGGCATCAGTGTAAACAAAAACAGCATACATTCACAAGGGAATGAAAGGTGAAAATAACAAGAAATGAAGATGAGAATCCTGTTTCTAACATATTTGGTTATTTATTCATGGATTCACCTGACGCAGTCTGGGTAGTGTTGGTAGGTGACACTTGAGACATCTTTTCTGCTACTTATGTCTTCTCTCACAACACATTAATGGACCAGGTTTTCTCTTTGACCAACAAATGACTATCCTATCACCCTTATGTCCATCCCTACATCATGACAAGCAGTTCAACTCACTAACAGGTGGTTTGAAACTGGCCATTTTAAATTTGACTGCCTTATAAACTTATGACTGGAACTTCTTAACTTTCAGCCAAGAGCTGTTTGTGAAATAATGTTCGATAAGTCTTTATCATTTGAAAATGAGAAAGGCCATTTGGAAAGAGGGAGAGAAAACTTACCTTATTTTTACATTTTAACACAACACCATAAGATCCTGCAAAAAAATTAAATAATAACCTTTAACATCATCATGGTAGCATGAATAATATATGTGTTTAATAGGTACAATTTTAAAGAGTATGAAGCAGACATTTTTAAAAAATGCACATACATAACATTTGCAGATACAACCATCTTTATTTACAGATTGATTTACTTACTGTATATACTAAAGTATAGTGTGAGTTTTTATGATCTGTTTTTGATGCAAAAAAAAAAAAATAAATAATAGCTAGTCACACTATATGCAGATAATTGTTTAAGAGTAAATCTCATGCATTTTCAGTAACTGGTTGCACTATACACAGGTAAATTCTTTCTAAAATTCATGCAAAAAAATTCAGGATTTGCACTATACCTGAAGTTGACTTATACACGAGTATATATGGTATTTTTATTTCTAATTCATGTGTGAATTCCGTGGTAGGTTCAATCTTATTAAGTTTCTTTATTATGTATATTATGAGGATATAATGAAAGAACATCATCTATATATCTTTGGTAAAAGAAGTTTTTACGTATGATGTGTTTAAATGGACTGAACTCTAAAAATTCTAGGAAAAGAGAAGCAAGGACATTACTAATAGGTGATCCCATAGGTAAGCTGAATTTTTGCATATAAAAATTTTTATTGAAAGAGAAGAAACAGTAGTTAGTTTACACAGTTTTATAATTTTATGGACAGGTAGAGGAAGTTTTTCATTGAAATTTTTGAGGTGGTTTCTCAATAAATTGAGGCATTTTGTAAAGGGTATATTTGTGTATAATGATTTGATATCTAAGCTAGCTATTACATTGTTTTTCATATTTATGTTTTATATCCTCTGGATTAAGTCACCAAAGTGTTTAATAAGTATTGGGTTGATATAATATATGGTATATTGGGGAAAGGCGAGAAATATTGAAGACAAACCATAAAGTATGGATATTGAATATATAATGGCATTGTATCACTACGAACATCCATGGAGAGGTAGAAGATGTGATTTTATCTTTAATCTCAAGTGTATATGTTTCATGTCAAGTGAATGATTCTTTGAAATTTTCTAAGTGGTATCCACTTTGACCAAAGAGGAACGAAGAGTGGATGGGGTCTTTTGGAGACCAAGCAACAACAAAACTTGGACATAGGATGTATCTCATTACTGCTTTATATAAATCAGTGGTTTTCAAAGGGGATCCATATGGACCCTGGGAGCCCATGTAAAATTATGGGGGTCAACAGAAGGTCATTTTAAAGTGTTTTATTAAGAGTTATTTTACTAGTGTACATAAATGTTCCATAGAATTTAGTTGTTAAATATAAATTTATTTTCATTAAATTAGTTTTACTTTAAAAATAAAGCATATAAAATTACTATTTTTATAATACAATTCCTAAACTTATCTATTAGTAAAAATTAAAATAAGCTTTTTTTTTTCATTAAATAATTACGGGGCTCCACCATAAAAAATTAAGAGTTCAAGTGGTCCATGGGTAAAAAAAAGGTTGAGAACCACTGATATAAATCATGCTTGGGACAGGGGTGGTGGTCAGTTCTGGTCCATCTTTAGTAGGAGATGGATGTGACCATCATGGGGTTCTGATGCCACCCATTCCATTCATATTACTAGCCACACATCAGGCAAGGAGTTGGTAGGAGGAAGAGATGATCCATAAGATTGACACAGAAGTTTTCCAAAGTGTCACCTACCTAGGCAAGTAGGTGATGCTTTGAATAAAACATCTACATATATGGGAAATGGGTTTTGCATTCTTATTCCTTGATGTGGTGTTTGTCTTTCATCTTAACTTGTGAGCATGCAGCAAGCTCTTTGCCATCATTCAGTGCACACCAACAAGATCAACAATTGAAATTCAACATGGAGCAATCATTGACCAAAAGCACACATTTTGAACCATAGTAACTTTATTTCAGAAAAAGAATTTCATTATTCTCAATAATGACACCCTTGTAGAAAAGGAAGATATGGTTTATCTTGATATCAAGTGTTTCTGTTTTATAACCAGCATGTAGTTCTTTTTTATGTCTACTTTTCTAAATGGCATCCACTTTGACCGAAGGGGAATGGTAGAGTAAAGTAGTGGATGAGGGGTCTTTGGAGATCAAGTGATGTCAAAACCTAAAATAGGCTGCATCTGGGTGCTGATCTTTATTAACAGTCATACTTAGGATCGAAGTGAGTGCTGGTCCACTCTTAGTGGGAGACAGACTTGTTCATCATGTTGTTCTGAATCTGTCTATTCGTATTGCCATACACCATGTTGGGATGGGTGGAAAGTTGGGTGGGGAAGAGATGCACATAATAAAAATTGTTCAGTGTCACCTACTCATCCAGGTGAACAGGTGATGCTTTAAATAAAAGATCTACATATAATACGGGAAATGGGGTTTGCATTCTTATTCCTCAATGTGGTGTTTCTTTCATCTTAACTTGTGAACATGGAGCAGGCTCTTTGCCAGCATTCAGTGCACACCAATGAGATCAATAATTGAAATTCCCAATTGAAATTCAACATGGAGCAATCATTGACCAGCTGGTGGAAAGTGTGGACGATGGTTGTGTTGTATTTTTACTGCATTAGAAAATTTTAATTATGAGAAACACACATTTTGAACCAAAGTAACTTTATTTCAGAAAAAAAGAATTTCATTATTCTCAATAATTCATCTTTAGCATTAATGTTTTTAAAATTGTATTAAAATTTATGCTTATGATAGAAAATTTTATTTAATGTGATTTACTACAATCTTGATCATCTATTGAGAGAAAGTGGGCGATCCATATTTTTTGTGTCTTTGCCCACAAGTTCAAAAACACTGCCAACCTGGCTTATTTCCCAAAAACTTTGCCAACTTCTACTCTTAAAATGATTTCATTACAAGCTTCAAGTTCATTACAACACATCAAGATATATTTGTTCTTATTAAATGTCTTCTTGAAAAAAAAAGCATGAAATTTCACTTTAACACGGCTCAATTCTTTGTATTTTTAACCTTAATTTAGGATCAAACAAAAATACAAACATTGAGAAGGCAAATTAGAAGGGTGTGTTCATTGAGTGATATAAAAAACATACTTTCTATTCATGAAGTTTCAAATTTATGAAGATCTCAAGTGAATGAAGAATTTTAATTTAAGTTTTTTTTAATGAGATAAAAATTTAAGAAAAAAAATCCTGATTTTCTCACCAAAAGATTTCTTTTAAACATTATATAATTATAACTCAAAATTCACTTTTCTAAATTATCAGTCATATACTAGAATTCCAAGAGGTTACTATTTTTAATATTGTCAATGCTGAATTGTTGTGTTGATCTGCTTTGGGAAAATTAGAAAACTGCTACTTATTTGGCAAAAAAAGTATAAAAGATGCTGTGATTTTTCATGAGTGTCAACATTTTGATTGGACACTCTGGTAGAGAAATTAAATTAAACAACATCCCCAACATACCTAAAAATATCACAAAACAGGTTGTATTGTATACTAATCTGTCTCTACTAACTTAAGAATAGTACTAAATGCTAGTTAATTTATAACACAAACACTAAGGACTAATATTTCATGGTGTCTTGAAAACATAATATGTGAACAACAACCAATGTAAGTTTTGTCAAAACATAAGTACATCATGAAAATATATATATATATACATATATAATACCAAATCTGTGGCTGGTAGGGATTATTCCAAGGAGGTCTTGTTAATATAAAAATATTAAGTTAAATCCATGATGAGAGCTCAATGTATAAATTTATATACAGAGAAATATAAATAAATATGTCTTTTCCTTATTATATATTTTTACAGCAAAAAAGTCAAAAATTACCTCAACATAGTATAGTCTATTTCAAGCCATTCTCTGTTATAATAAATATATCAAACTCTCTGTGGATCAGTTTTAATAATTACTATTACTAGGATCCCCCAGATTATATACTAACGGATTGATTACCTGTAGTATATATATATATATATATATATATATAAATACACACAAACACATCAACAGCAGACAATGCTGGTTTTGTAAAGACATAAGTATGATTGCCCATTTATTCATTTAAACATACCATTTATCTTTGTATCATCATCTTTAATTAGTAATTTTGTCGATTATTCTGTTATTGACTAATAGACTGTATTTTTTGTTTTATTTGTATAAGGTTTATAAGCATGACATGATTAGTTAAAAAAATAAGTATATTTTAAGTACGTAACGAGTCTTTGAGATTTTTTTTAATGCAACATTATTAAGTGTTAATAACTGAAATTTCCAACTCTCATTAGGTTTATAGTTTAAGCATGAAATAAGGTTTAAATTTGCTAAACATGGCTAAGCTCAGCTAAAATTACCTTATGCTAATAAAAACATTATTCAAAAAATAGTGTACACATATTTTAAAAGCTGCCTTTATGAAAGTCAACATTTTATGAACAATTTATTTTTTAATACTCATTCAATATGAAAACAATGATAGAGATATTACTTAGAGTATAAAATAAATTGACTTACCTTCTCCTACAACTCCAAGAATATGGTACTTGTTCATGCTTTGGCCTCCAGGGTCTGAAGGCCGTGATAGGCCATTGTTGTTTAAAACCATCTACAAAAAACAAAAAGAAACATTTCCGATTTACATACATATTAACAGTTTCTTTTTAGACAAAAAGCTTCTTAATTAACATTGAAAAAGAGATTAAGGGCTAAGTCCACCTTTAATTTGTGATTTCCATAGAAGTTCTCTTTGATCAAAAAAATTTAAAATATGAAGGAAACAAATTATATAAAAAGCATTTTTCTTAACCCTTGGCACTCTGTATTACTAATATTATTTCCATTTCTACTGCATTCTTTTCCAAGACCTCTCAATTACAGTAACCTTATTGTTAATTTCACTCAAAGTTGTTTTCTGTTGCCATAACATGATATGACAACACAACTACAAAATTTAAACACACTATTGTTCAGAGATCAGAGTCACCTTCAGTGGCAGGATAAACTTTTTGTACAGCAAATGAAATCACATACAGCTTGATAAAGGTAAATAATTAGATTCTTTTACAAAGTCTTTCACACTTGTTATGAGCTTGATCCTTTTTCAAAGGGGCTTAAGGCCATGTCATGTTGAAACACCAATTCCCATATAACTGCCAAATTTAAGCACTGTTGAGTCTGGTCAGTATCTTGATAGGGGACCGCTTGAGAATACCAGGAGCTGTAAACTTGGATATACAGGTGAGATAAGAGATAATATCACAGAATCGTTAATTGGAGAACCAAGTTCCAATTCCAGTTGGGTTCGTTATATACACATGTGCAAATACCCTTGGGAATCCAACTTTTCTCCACCTAGCTATGGGTTAATTAGTAAGACTTGTATCACTAAATCATTATCTAAAAAAAAAAAAAAAAAATTATTATATTCTTACAATCTAAAAATATTTTCTGGCCTTAAATAACCTCCAAAGGGTTGAGAAGCTGAATCAATCAAGCAACTTTTTCAAAATTTTTTTTTTGTCTTCACACCAGTAGTAGCTAGTGGCATACACTGGAGATAAAGTGACAGCAAATCTCCTTTATATTCTAAATAATGTATCTAAATAGTCGTAGTCCTTTCAGCCTAGACTGTTGAATGGTATATTAACTGTTGGTTGTTTAATGACAAAACCTGGTTGACTTGCAAATGTTTGATTACAATTATAATACAGGATGCGATGGGTAAATTGTTGCCATTCCATATTTTTAATTTCACATATGTGTGTTGTTTGTTTTCGATTTTGTTGACTGCACATTGTAGTAAGGTCAGTTAGGCACTGTCTGTGAGAAAAAGAGCACCACAATATAATTCACTCCACCAGAAATTTGTAAACAACATGCTGTACTGCTTGGCATTTATGCTGAAAGCTCCAATACAAACATTTCAGAGTGTTTGGATGTCAATCTGAGGATAGTGCAGAGGATTCAGAAAGAGTTGGATGAGTCTAATTATGATTACAAAGGTACAGCATCTTGGAAAAATCACTGATTATTCTGATAAGAAAAGAACTCCCGAATTTGTTAGTGATGGCCTCAGACTCAACACAGAGGCCTACATCAAATGACTTGAGGAGAGAGTGTTGACCTGGGTCAAGAGGGCGGCTGCTGGAAGACCCTATGTCTGGCAACAGGACTCCATGCACCATGCCACACAAGCAGGAGAACCTAGTCATGCCTATCAGAATTTCTGCAACCACATCACCCCTTACATCTGGCCACCTAACTCCCCAGACTGCAACCCCCTTGATTATTATGTACTGGGTACAGTTGAATGAGAGACCAACAAAGATCCTTGTAACACCAAAGATGAAGTGAAGGCAAGGATTATGGCAGCATTCTCCAACATAAACAAGAAGACCATCCAGAAGAGTTGCAGGAGATTTCACAGTCGTCTGGAGGCTGTGGTTGAAGCCAATGGTGATTTTATTAACTATTTACTGTTTAGTATTTCAAGATATTTTTATGTAATTTTGGTAAATATATCTAGTAAAATGAGATGTTAGTGTTATTTTCATTTTTGCATAAATCAGATGGCAATTTATCCATCACACACTGTATAGTACAACCAATGATGGCTTCCAAACAGTTTCATCTGCCAAATTTCATTCACAATCCTTGTGTCAACCTCTGATATTGTTTTCAGGCACCTCTGAATGGTGCCACACACTGGGATCATTTTTCAAGTCTAATATTATCAAGAGGTCACTTCCTTAAAAAGTCAACTCTGAAAAGATTTGAACCTGGGTTCGATAGTCAGAAAGCTAATGCTGTAACCATTTGACCATTTATTTTTTATGGTACTTTGGGGCTACTCCAAGTGTTCCAAAAACAATGAGAACAAGTGTTGCCTTTATGCTACACAATCTTCTCAATTCTTCTGGAGATCTAAATATTTGCCTAACTTTTCACTTTCAATTTTATTCTGTGATAGGCTGAAACAATAAAATCTGTATTTTGACAATGATTTTTTTTTCTTTTTGATGATAAACAAATCTGGTCTTCTAGCCTAGACTAGGTGATCAATTTGACTCTGAAAGCTATATTCTCTTACCTGATCTTAGCTTGTCAATACAAATTTGGTTTGCATGGATAAATCCTAGTGATATTTGTCTGACTTTCTGGAATTAGGAGTTACTATTATTTACATTATTTACAGTCACACTAAACTCTACATCTTTGTTATTAATATCCAAATATTTTGGTAATTGTGCCCCTTTACCTTCAACACTATTTACTATTCTGTAGCAGTGACTTACCTCGCCGACCCAAAAGGGCCAGAGTTGTGTGTATGTGTTGTGGAGTGATTTCAGAGTGGAGGCTTGTTTTTGTACTAAGTCAGTCCTAAAATAAGTTCGACATACAAAACGTTAGGAACTTGATATAATAGATATAATGCAGAGTAATCTAGTTGTGGCCGCTGATACTTAAGTATTCGACTAACTGTCATCCGACATTGACCGACTGACTGACTGACTCCCATGTTACTCTCATTACTCCTACTTATTATAGGTGGGAGAGTCTATTAACTATAGAATAGGTGTGTTCCACTATAACAGTATGTTTTGCAAGGGATTGTGGAGACAGCGAATCGAATGGACGATGAATTGGACAGCACTTTGTGCTGATGGAAGTGGTAGTATTGCTTGTAGCCATTTTTGAAGCATGCCGATTCGCCATCTCCACAATCCCTTGCAAAACATACACACAAATCTGGATCTTTTGGGTCGTTGAGGTAAGTCATATTTCTATTATTTATTATTATTATTATATCACCAAAATTCACTAAGCAATGATTTAATCCTCTAGGCCATGATCCTAAATACAGAGCTTTAAACCTAATGTTCTTTCTTCTGCTGCTGCTATAGCCTTGCTATCAAGCTTTGTTTCCTTTGTCTCCATTTCTTTTTCTTGTATTCCATTTCTTTTTCTATTGTAAGTATACTAGTCTGAATGGAAAAGCATCTAATACTGGTCAGTATTGATTTTATTATTCAGCCCTCTAAAATGAGTAAATTTTCCAAACATTTGACTTGAGATTGGTATTATTTGAAACAAAAATTATTGCTGAGCTTTGATTCTACTAAGAAAGGATGGTATAAAGATCAATGTTTTCAGAACAAGGTCATTCAGATTTGATTTAAATATAGTGAACTTGATTCAAGAATTCTACACAAAATTTCCATCTTATTTATTAATATTTAATATTGTTAAGGTATTTTGTATCTCTTGAAACATTGATCACAGTCAGTTGAATTTTTTCTCCTTTTCACACAAAGTTCACATAATCGTTCAGTTCATGAAGGAGGATCTATAAACCGGTAGTGAGATACAATGAGTAAATTTTGATCTTAAATTCTCACTGTATAAAGTTCAATTTATTGGGTTAAGTACATTGAAAAGAAAAGAGATTATGTTGTCAAAAATTGAAAGAAAAAATGCCTTTTCTATCATTAATCTAAACACTTATTAATGTGGGCATGTACATAACTGGACAGAGTATTTGATCTTAGCACAACAGAGATAGAAGCTATAATCTAATTAAATTTCTTGAACTCTTCTTAACCTCTATTCAGACCATGGCATTATGATATTAGTACATTAATATAATGAATGTCTTGCAGTTCAGTTCCCTGTTAATTGTATTAATAGAAAACTAGTTTACCTATGTTTGCCAAAAACAAAAAAAGTCCTTATCATTAGGTTTTTACATGAATTTTTAGAATATGATGAAATATACACAGTGCTTGTAAAAATAAGAAAAAAGACAGGATTATTTATTTATAGCAGTTTTTCTCAACCTTTTTAAGCAGTGGCACACCTAAGAGATAATGAAAATATCACGGCACACTTAAATTTTTTAAAGGATATATATTTAAATGTGATGACATAATAACATAGATTTAAAAAATACCCAAGCAAATTTTTTTAAAATGAATACTAAAACAAAGTATTTAAAATAACATAATCAAAGAATAGTGAAAAGAATTATTTTCAAAAAAGTTTAATATTTATTCATTTATACAAATACTAACACTGCACCCTTACTACATCCACATGTGCATATATATATATATATATATATACTGTGACAATATTTCATGGCACACTAGTATGCCATGGCATGACGGTTGAGAATCACTGATTTATGGAGTAGAAATTCTGTCTTGGATCAATGTAGTATCTGTGTACAGTCTGTGTACTCTGCTTAATTGACTATTTACAAGTTAATTGCACCATGCTGCACAAGCAGAACACTGGTGTAATGGATATGCCAAATGCCTGGTTACCTACAAGTTAAACATTTGAATAAGGGCAGGATTCATTCGTTATTTTATTTGTTTGCTTCATTACAGCAAAAAGTTACAGACATAAACATACAAATACACAGAATATATAGATAGAGAATACTAATGCAATGTGAACAGGATTGAAAATATTTTGTTGCTTTTCTTTTCTGATGTCCTAATGACTAAAATTTTCTGTGACTTTAAATATGTTTTTAATTTATGGTAAATACACACAATAGAGGACAATATGAAAGAATGAAGACATTTAATGAGAAAATTA